CCCTGTGCACCCACTGGCCAGCGCGCGGCCTGGAAAGCGCACTTGTGCGCATTGGGACCAAACGGGCCGCTGCTTGGCGCTCTGCCTAGGCGGAATCTGACCGTGTTGGTCAGCCTGGTCTCCAACACCTGACTTCATGATACACTCGCCTCAGCCTCCCAGAGTGCTGGGATTACAGGCGCGAGCCCCCGCGCCCTGCCAATCCAGGGAGTTTTTAAAAGCTGGAAGCCCCGAGTGGAAGCCCAGGTCACTTAGCTCAGTGGGATGGGACCCCAGCCATTAGTATTTTGAAAGATTCACAGGTGATTCCAGTGTATAGGAAAGTGTGGGCACCACTGCTGTCACTGAACACTACATGCTTTTACATTTTTTCAGCTAGACTGTTTGCTTCTCTGCCTTTTTCATGAGGCGGTGGGTGTCACAGTATCTAGCCTAGCTCTAAGATGCACTATGTATTTGCTGCATGAAGGAGGCAAAGGCAGAGCACAGGATAGGGCATGTAACTTGTAGGCCTCTCTTTGCTTGTGTCCAAAATTCTCCCTGGGCTGAAATACCACTGACCTCATGGAAATGGCTTTATGTAATGTCTGAAGCCAAGGGGGAAAATGAGTCATTACTCCCTAATGGGACATCTGTCTTTTAGCCTCTCCAGAATGCACCTACCTGTGTCACTGTGGCTCAGAGGTCTGGGATGGCATTTGGGTGTGCACCATTAGAGTCATAACCCCTGTGGGTTCCAACACCTGTGAGTCCAGCGCTGGGATGGATACCTTATATTCTGAAATAGATCTGGCCTGGTGCTATCCTGGGCCATGTTCTCTTGTTGAACATAATCATGAACAATTTTCCACAACGCTGTTGGACAAGACTCCTCTGTGACCAGGATGGATCTAGACCAGAATAAGACCACTCCAGCATCACATCTGAAAACAGACCAAGCACAAACACTGTTCAGTCCACAAACAGAGCAGTTGCTTTGACTAACAGACCTGGCTGCTGCTTCATTGCCAATTGTAGCTTTTATTTTGAGACAGAATCTCACTCTGTCACCCAGACGGGAGCACAGTGGCACAATGACTTCCTGCAACCTTTGCCTCCTGGGCTCAAGCAATCCTCCTACCCCAGCCTTCTGAGTATCTGGGATCACAGCACATGCCACGACACTTGGCTGATTTAAAAAAAAAATTTTCGTGATGGCTGGGTGCGGTGGCTCACACCTGAAATCCCAGCATTTTGAGAGGCTGAAAGGGGTGGATCATGTCAGGAAGTGGAGATCATCCTGGCTAACACAGTGAAACCCTGTCTCTGCTAAAAATACAAAAAAATTAGCCAGGTGTGGTGGCATGCACCTGTAATCCCAGCTACTCGGAGGCCGAGGCAGGAGAATTGCTTGAACCCAAGAGGCAGAGGTTGCAGTGGGCGGAGATTGCACCACTGCACTCCAGCCTGGGAAACAGAGTGAGGTCTGAGAAAAGGAGACAGTGTGAGCAGCTCTAATAGAGGAGGAGCAGAAAGAAGTCAGAAATCTGAACAGGATCAACCCAGGCTCTGACCTTTCCAGAGCTTTCCCCCAGCTGTGCCCTGCCCCCCTCCTCCCTGGGGTGCCTCCTGGTGTCCCCTCACCCTCGGTTGACGGGGTGCTGTGTCGCTGCAGTCCATTCTCCACAGAAACTGAGTTTCTATCTCACTGAGTGACCTCCATGTGCTCACGTAGCACCAAGGGCCTTTTCTATCACAATCATTTTTTGATTATCCATTTAGTAGCATTTCCACAGGAAGAGTTCAAAAGACTAACAAAACTTAAGTAATATTTCCTCTGATTATGAAAATAATCTGGCCAGGTGCTGTGGCTCATGCGTGTAATCCCAACACTTTGGGAGGCAGAGGTGGGCAGATCATGAGGTCAGGAGATTCAGATCATGCTGGTCAATATGGTGAAACCCGTATCTACTAAAATACAAAATAAAAATTAGCTGGGCATGGTGGCACGCGCCTGTACTCCCAGCTACTCAGGAGGCTGAGGCAGGGAAATCGCTTGAACCCAGGAGGTTGCAGTGAGTGGAGACCGTGCAGCTGCACTTCGTCTTGGTAAAAGAGCAAGACTCTGTCTCATAAATAAATAAATAAATAAATAAATAAATAAATAAATAAAATCTTAGGCCAGATGTGGTGGCTCACGCCTGTAATCCCAACACTTTGGGAGGCCTAGGCAGGCAGATCACATGAAGCCAGGAGTTCAAGACAAGCCTGGCTAACATGGTGAAACCTTGTCTCTACTAAAAATACAAAAATTAGCCAGGCATGGTGACAGACACTTGTAATTCCAGCTACTTGGAGGGTTGGGGCAAGAACCTGGGTGGCGGAGGTTGCAGTGAGCCGAGATGGCCCCCCCTGCACTCCAGCCTTGATGAGTGAGTGAGACTCTGTTTCAAAAAAAAAAAAAAGAAAGAAAAGTAATCTTAGTTTTAGAAGATTTGGAAAATCCAAGGAAAGCAGAAGGAAGAAAATAAAATTATCTGTTAGTTCACATCTGGGAGGAATTGTTGGGATTTTGAAGTAGACTCCTCTTGGATTTCTGTTTAGTCATATGTAACAAGGCATACTTTACTAAGATGTGAATGTACTGAAGATTTAGTTCTAATCTTCCTTTTCATCTAAATGTATTATCAGTATTTTAGCATATCAGTCATTTTTTTCTACCATGTTTTGTTATTTATTTATTTATTTTGAGACAGGATCTTACTCTGTCACCCAGGTTGGAGTGCAGTGGCATAATCATAGCTCACTGCAGCCTCGAGCTCCTGGGCTCAGATGATCCTCCTACTTCAGCCTCCCAAGTAGCTGGGACCACCAGTGCATGCCACCAATGTCAGCTAATTTACTTAAAATTGTTTTCTAGAGACAGGCTCTCCCTATGTTGCCTAGGCTGGTCTCAAACTCTTGGGCTCATGTAATTCTTCCACTGCGGCCTCCCAAAGTGCTGGGGTTATAGGTGTGAGCCACTGTGCCTGGCCTTGTACCATGTTCTTAGAAGCAGTATATATTTACTTTATATGTTAGGGAATCATAGATGTTTAGTTATTGAAGCAGTAAGTTAATGTGGAAAATAACAAAATATTATGTATGTCTAAACACTTCATTTTAAATTTAAACAACGGTACATATATATATATTTGAGATTGAGTCTCGCTCTGACACCCAGGCTGGAGTGCAGTGGTGCAATCTCAGCTCACTGTAACCTCCACCTCACAGGTTCAAGTGATTCTCCTCCCTCAGCCTCCTGAGCAGCTGAGACTACAGGTGCCTGCCACCATGCCCGGCTAATTTTTGTATTTTTGGTAGAGACAGAGTTTCACCATATTGGCCAGGCTGGTCTCAAACTCCTGACCTCATGATCTGCCCACATTGGCCTCCCAAAGTGCTGTGATTACAGGAGTGAGCCACCGTGCCTGGCCCTAAACAACAGCATATCAGCTTTGCAATCTTTTTTTTTTTTTTTTGAGATAGAGTCTTACTGTATCATTCAGGCTGGAGTGCATGAAGTGCAGTGGTGCAGTCTCAGGTGAATTCACCATCAACCTCCTGGGCTGGAATAATCCTCCCATCTCAGCCTCCCTACTAGATGGGACTACAGGTATGCCTTGTTTTGTAAATTTGGCAGAGACAAGGTTTTCACCATGTTACCCAGGCTGGTCTCAAATTCCTGGACTCAAGTGATCAGCCTGCCTCAGCCTCCAAAAGTGCTGAAATAATAGGTGTGAGCCACCTCGCCCAGTCTCACTTTGTAATCTTTTGGCTACAGGTGTAAAGCCCATTTTTGGAGAGTGGGTCTACTTTTCAAGTTTGTTGTCTAAGCCATCCCTGTAATATCTAGTTTTGATTTCTCCGGGATGGATGAATAAAGACAGAAC